GCTGCTGCTGCTGTTGCTGTTGCCGTTGACAGAGCCGGCAGCCGCGGCGGTCCCTGCTGCTGCTGCTGACGCGTCAGCCGCAGTTGTTCCTGCAGCACGGGCTCCACCCGCAGCAGCAACAGAGGAACCAGCAGCAGCAGCAGCAGCAGCAGCAGCGGCAGCAGGCGCTGCTGCTGCTGCTCGCTCCCCCGCCCGCAGCGCGCGGGCCCTGTTAATAGCAATGCGGAGGCGGCCGTCTGCTCGGGGGTCCTCAGATAGAGAAAGACACAGGTTGACCAGCCAGTGCTTCAAGCTCGCAGGCAGCAGATGCCTGCACAGTGCACAAACCCTAAACCCTAAACCCTAAACCCTANAAACCCTAAACCCTAAACCCTAAACCCTAGACATCAACCGAAGCAAGCACCACAGACTACAAACCCTAAACCATACACACTAACCGAAACCCAAACCCTAAACCCCAAACCCTAAACCCTTAACCCAGACATAAACCCCTTCTTTGTCAAGCACTAGCACCAGCAGCACCGCAGCAAGAGGTGACTGGACCTGAAGGCCTGGAGCGTGAGAGAGAAAGAAGAGGGGCGAGGAGAGAAGAGTTCAAGACAAGGACCAATGGAGACAAGCAGCTGGGTTAGGGCCCGGCAGAGCTGTAGAGACACCTCAGCAACTCCCCACAAGCTTGCGTTTGCTGCAAGCCGCCGCCGCAGAGCCGACAACTGCTGCTGCTGCTGCTGCGGCTGCTGCGAGCCAAAGTCCTGCTGCTGCAGCAGACTTCTGAAGTGGTGAACGCTGTCGATGTCGACCCGTCCATCTACAGAGCTGCCGCTGCCGCCCTGCGGTGCTGCTGCTGCTGTTGCTGCTGCTGCTGCTGCTGCGTCTCCTTGCTGCACTGCCTCTCCCCCCTCTTCTAACACGGCCAGCACTGCACCCAAAACTTCTTCGTTTAGCAGCAAGTCCACATGCTGCAACACGAGCTCCCACTTTCCCCTGGACTGCTGCTGCTGCTGCTGCTGTTGCTGGTTCTTTTTCTGCTGCTGCTGTTGGCTCTGCTGCTGCTGTGTCTGTACACCTAAGTAGCGCCACAGGATGGTGCGGGGATCGGCAGCCAAGGATTGCCGTGTGTCCTCCCAGTAATTCCACTCTCTCTGCAGCCTCCACAGCTGCAGCAGCTCAGCATCTTGGCTCAAGCGCAGCAGCAGCAGCTCGTCCTCTTGCCGCTGTCGAGAATGCTGCTGTAGCTGTAGTTGCTGCTGCTGCTGTTGTTGTTGTTGCTGCTGGTGTTGCGGCTGTTGCTGCAGTTGCTGCTGCTGTACTGGCATTGCCGCTGCACTGCTCTGATGAACAACGCGCTCTTCTATTGGGAGATTGCCGTCGCTGCTGCTTAGGTCTTCAGTGCTGCTGCTCGTGTTGCTGCTGCTGTTGCTGCTGTCGTTGCTGCTGTTGCTGTATCTGTCATGTTTGTGCATGCGGTTAAGCAGCTGGGCTATTCGTTCTACGCCGTAGGCCCGGTCCGTTACCCTTACTGTCTCCACCAGCTCTCTCTGGCTGAGACAAGAAGAATAAACTCTCAAGTCTGCGATGAATCCCTTCATAGAGTGTGCTCTGCAGCGAGGATACGGCTGCTGCTGCTGCTGCTGCTGCTGCAGCTGTGTGAGGGGCGGATGTGGCGGCGGCTTGAGCAGTTCTTCTAGCCGCAGCGGGAGGGGTAGGGGAGCAACCCAGAAGGGGAGAGGCCCCTGACAGAGGCAGCATCTGCTGCTGATGGGTGCAGCAGCAACATCTCTTCCGTCTATATAAAGACGAACCCCTAGAGGCAACCCTCTGCCTAGGGGGACGCCTACACTGATGCCTACGTGTGTCCATCGCCGCGGCTGCAGCTGAATGTTGCTGCTGAGAGAAGCAGCAACAGCTTGATAATCCATATATGTCGTTGTCTGCAGCGGCACGCGCAGCTGTACATACACTCGGTTCTCAGGAGACAGCCACACAGACACCGTCTCGCTCACGCAGCCCCGCAACCAAACCAGCCGCCACAGCCTCCCCCCCGCGTTCGTTGAGCAACGGCATCCACCCTTCCTGCCCCTGCTGCTGCTCCTGCTGCTGTTCCTGCTGGTGCTACTGCTACTGCTGCTGCTGCTGCTGCTGCTACTGCTGCTCTTGCTGCAAGTGCAGGCCCCTCCTGGCGCGTCCGCTGCAGCTTCAGCCAAAGCCATCCGCCGCAGGCGATCCGCGGTATGCCTGTCCGCTGCACCGCTGATTCCACCGCTATCGTCCTGCTGCTGCAGCTGCTGCTGCTGCTGCTCTTGCTGGTGCTGCTCTTGCTGCTGTTGCTGCTGGTAGTAGTAGGGTTGCTGCTGCTGCGGCTGAGGGCTGTCGTTGCTGCTGAGTCCGAAGGGAGGAGGAGACGCAGCAACGTCTCCACGTCTCTGCAGCAACTGTCTGTACGGGGGCTGGGGGAACAGGCCCCCATTAAGAACAGTTATTCTGGTCAAGCCGCCGCCTCTTCTTACTATTGGATGGTGGCTGCCTGAGGGGGGCCCCACGGAGGGGGGGGCCCCATCTGCTGCTGTTGCCCACTGAGGGTACCGCCTGGAGTTGAGGCCCCCAGGGGCCCCTCCACCTAAGTCGCCAGGAGAAGAGACAGAGGCAAGCTGACCCAGGTGGTGCTGAGGAACCTGCAATTCCCTCGGGCTCCCGTGCTGCTGTTGTTGCTGCTGCTGGTGCTCTAGAGATGCAAGCGGAGGCGGCAGCAAGCCCAGCTGACTCTGCTGCTGCTGGCCACGTGTCTCCCGTACCCCGGCCTCCAGATGTTCCTGCTGCAGCTGTTGCTGCGCCTGTTGCTGCTGCTGCTGCTCTGCCTCTAGCAGCTGCAGGTCCTGCAGGGTTAGCCGCCCCTCTCGCCGTCGCGTCTCCAGTTGCTGCCGCAGCTGCATTTCCATGGTTTGTTGATACTCGAATATCATGAGCCGCCCCTGTTGCTGCTGCTGCTCAGTCTGTTGCTGCTGCTGCTGCTGTTGCTGCTGCTCTCGTAGGTCCAGTTGGTGTCGCCGCAGCACGTCCATCTCTAGAGCCGACATGGGGGCTGTAGGGAGCCGCTGCCACACTTCATGCGAGTTTGTGAGGCCCGGGTCCTCCCCCGAGCTCTCCTGCGGTTGTTGTTGCTGTTGCTGCTGCTGCTGCTGCTGCTGCTGGACAGAAGGCCAGTTCCGCCGCTGCTGTTGTGGTGGCTCACTACTCCAGTCCCCCTGCGGGGTCCTGGGATCGCTTTCCCCTGTTACTCGGCTGGCGGGCGGCACAGCATCCTGGCGCAGCGAGGCTGGGGGGGCTGGAGGAGCTACTCCCGAAGCAGTTGCTGTTGCTGCTGCTGTTGTTGCTGTTGCTGCTGCTGCTGCTGCAGTTGCTGCTTCTTCATCTGGCCTCCAAGGGCTGGAGACGGGAGGAGAGTCCCCAGGATGCTGGGCCGGCGAGGCTGCATACCGAATGTCAGTTCTTGGGGGCCCTCCTTCTGAGTGCCTGCTGTTGAGGTCTAGTGAGTTTCGCCAGCTTGGCTGGCGGACGACCTGCTGCTGCTGCTGCTGCTGCTGCTGCTGCTGTTGCTGCTGCGGCTGCGGCGTTCGAGAGTGTGCTGCTGCTGGACTTGGGGCTTCTGTTACCGCCAGCTCTGAGCGCTGCCTCATGGGCCTCCAGCGGAGGACTGCTGTTTCGGGGGCGCTGCCTAAGCTTGCTGTTCTTGTACTGCTGCTGTTGCTGCTGCTGCTACTGCTGCCGGAGCCCGTGCTGCTTCTGCCGCTGCTGCTGCTGCCGCTGGATGAGCCGCTGCTGGGCGGGGGCGGCACGGGCTGCGCATTCGCAGCAGCAGCAGCAGAAAGGCCCGGGGCTCGTCTGTTGAAGTTGCTGCTTCTGGGATTCTGGGGGGTATCAAGAGGCGAAGCAATACCTAGCTGTTGCTGCTGCTGTTGCTGCTGCTGCTGTTGCTGCTGCTCCTGTGGCTGCTGCGGCGGTGGCGGCGGCGTGGGGGGTTCGTCTTCGTCATCGTATAGCCAAAACGAAAAGGTGCAGGGGGGCCTCGCATCAAGAGGAACAGAAACAACGGGCTCAGGAAAGTCATCTCTGCATGCAGCCAGGGTTTTGTTAGCTTCAGATTCTGCCTCCTGCTGGGTATTCCCGCTGCTGCTGCTGGTGCTCTTGTTGCAGCAGCAACAACTGCTGCTGCGGGTGCGCTGCTCCCCTACAGGCACGACGCCGGGGAACACGGGCCAGTGGTGCTGCTTCACCGCTGTCTCTGCAACGCAGCGCAGCAGCACCTCTTGGACGCCAGCAAAGTGGTGCCGGAGCGAATCAGCAGCAGCTTCTATGCTGCTGCTGCTGCTGCTGCTGCTGGTCTTGCTGTCGCTGGAGGCGCTGCTCTCCGTAGTGCCCTGTTGTTGCACTCTCCCCTGACCAGAGGCACCCGCGTTATTTCTGCCTGCTGCTGCTGCTGCTGCTGCTGCATCCGAGCACAAGGGGACAGGGACGCCTGCAGCAGCTTCAGAAGCAGCTGCTGCCTCCGCCGAAGGCAGAAGAGGGATACTCGAGAGCAGACGGTAGAGAGGAGACAAAGCCTGTCTGGGCGGTTGTAGTTTTTGCTGTGACCCAGCTGCTGCTGCCTGCGCTGCAGCTGTTGTTTGCGTTGCAGCTGCTTCTGTATCTGCTGCAACTGCTGCTGCTGCTCCTGCTGCTGCACCCTCCTCTGCTGCTGCATTTATGTCTTCTGGCATTTGTTCTTCGAGTTGCTGCAGACGCTGTTGAATTGCGGTTTCTGTTGCAGCAGCCGCACCAGAAGCAGCATCAGCAGCAGCAACTGCTGCTGCTGCTACTGCTGCCTGATGGTGATGCAGCGCAGCATCTCTCTGCAGAGCAAATATTTTGAGAAAGTTGACGGTGAGGAGACAGCGGCTGAAAGGAGGAGGAGGAAAGGCTGTAAGAAATACAGCTGTCCCCGGGGGCCACTCAGCATAGTCTCTGAATACTTCGTCCCCTGAGGCTGCGCGGTCAGCAGCAAACCATACGCGCAGTGTCTCCTTGAGCAGCGCCTCTCGCACAGCATTCGATACAGAAGGAGCTGCTGCTGCTACAGCTGCTGCTGCGGTGCCTGCTGCTGCGGGAGCTGCTGCTGCGGTGCCTGCTGCTGCGGGAGCTGCTGCTGGTAGTACGGATGATGAAGAGCTACATGACAACCTTCCTTGCGTCATTGCAGCAGAGTAAAATTCCTGTTGGGATGGCGAAAGGTGACTCAGCAGCCGGAGTAGCAGCTGTTGCTGCTGTTCCTGCTGCTGCTGCTGCTGCTGCTGCTGCTTGGGAGCAGCTGCTGGGTTCGTTGATGCTGCGTGCTGCGCGTTTGGCCTGTCCTGTTGATGCTGCTTTTGTTGCTGTTGCAGCGTTGCGCCTTCTCCAGAAGTATCTGCTGCAGCAGCTGATGCAGTGTGTGCTGCTGCTGTTGCTGTTGCTGTTGCTGCAGCGTGAGCAGCAGCTGAAATCCCGCAGAGCTGCAGCAACGGCAGCCAGAGCTGCCGATCGGGTGGAAGCTGCAGAGACACCCCACCTAAGGAGAAGAGGAGACCCCGGAGGAGACTGGTCACATCGTGGGGCCCCACGGATGCCTTGAGGAGACGCAGCCGCAGACGCAGAAATTCTGTTAAGTACTGTAGAGAAACTTGAGCGCTGCCGACGGGCAGACGGGGCTGATCCCGGTGGTGCTGCTGCTCTTCTTCCTGCTGCTGCTGCTGGGGTGGCTTTTGCTGCTGCTGCTGCTGCTGCTGCNTGCTGCTGCTGCTGCTGCTGCTGCAAAGGCGCAACTGGATCCGAGAAACCGTCAAAGTCAACGTGAGACAAGGGTCCAACTTGTTCGCGCTGCTGCTGCTGCTGCTGTTGCTGCTCCTGGTGCTGGCGTTGCTGCTCCTGCTGGGTAGCCACCCCCTGTTGCTGTTCTTGCTGCTGCTCTAGGGTCTCTGGTACTGTTGCAAGAGCAGTTTGCTCTCGCTGCTGCTGCTGGCCTCTATTCACCCATTGCTGCTGCTGTTGCTGCTGCTGCTGCTGCTGCAGCTGCTGCTGGTGAGGCCACGGCCGCTGGGCAATGACAGCAGGACAACCGTCTACAGCGAAGGGCAAGAGGAAGAAGGGCTTCTGCTGTCTGTACCTGCAGGCGATACTAAGCGCAGAGAGGAGCTCCGAGCTGCCTTTTCGCTGTTGCCCTCGCTGCTGCTGCTGTTCCATCTGTTGCTGCTGTTGCTGTTTTTGCTTTTGTTGCTGCTGCGATCCTCCCTGAGGTTTCTGTTGGCTTAAGGGAAACCCTTCGTGGCTGCTGCGCCCCTCGAGGGGCCCTTCTGTTGCACGCGTGTTTGTTGCTTCGGCCAGCGGATATCTGGCCATTTCTGGTTCTGCTGCTGCTGCTGCTGCTGCTGTTGCTGCTGTTGCTGCTGGTGCTGTTATTGTTGAAACCTGTTGAGAAGGTGAAGCCGGGGAGGAGCCCGTGGATTCTGCATCGGCAGGGATGAGACCGTCCACAGGCTGAAAGCTGTCTGCTGTTTCTCCTCGCAGCAGCAGCTGCTGCTGCCACTGCTGCTGCTGCAGTTTCGTTTGCTTGTGGTTGTTGCTGCTGCTGCTGCTGCTGTCTGTGTCTGGAGGTGTGGCGAGGCCGCATAGGCGCCTGATGAGAGGGTCTATTTGGTGTTCGTGGCAGAGCAGCAGGACGTCTGTGGTGGCCCTTAGCCTGTCTCTGCTGATTTCTCTGTGTGTGTCTGCTGCTGTGCGGATCTCTGGGGAGAGACGAGCTCTTGCTGCTGTCTCCTCTCCCGTTGCTTCGGCTTGTGCTGCAGCAGCAAGAACCCCCATCCCAGACAGCAGCTTCGTGCTCCCAGCAAAACCCCCATTCGTCACGGCCTCTAGCCGGCTGTACAGACACCCGAAAGCAGCAGCGGCTTCTGCCCGTAGCTGCAGCAAACGACGAGATATGGTGCTGCTGAGCTGCAGCGAGACCCCACAGCCCCCCGCGCAGGAGCATGCGAACGTATCAGGCAGTTCCAGGTTCCCTACCTGCTGCTGCTGCTGCAGTTGGTGCTGCAGCTGCAGCCGGAGCAGGCGCTGTTCTTCAGGGGTCCGCAGAGTTGCTGTGGGAGAGTAAGAAAGAGGCTGCAGCATATTAAACAGTTGCCGCAGCAGCGACACTGCAGCAGGACGATCTGCCATGGAGGATGTCTGCTGCAGCAGGAACTCGATGATCGGGCACAGCACAGCTGCAGCACACACATGCACGCCTAAACCCTAAACCCTAAACCCTAAACCCTGAACGCCAAGCCCCACACCCTAAACTATAAACTCTAAACCCTGGACCAGACCCCGGAAATTCAGCTTTTCCTCTTCGCTTGCAATCACCAGGAAATGCAGGGGTTACGCCGAAACCCTAAGACACGCTGAAGGTGTCTCCTAGGGTTTAGGGTTTAGGGTTTAGGGTTTAGGTGTATCGGGGAGCACTTGCCAGAGTGTTTAGCCTTCGGTGTGAATGCAGCCAGCAGCAGAGACAGCTCCGCCGCCAGGTGGAGGTTGCAGCCCCTCAGCGCCTCCGTGTCAGTCAGCCGCTGCAGCAGCGGCGTCAGCAGCAAACGAAAGCCCCAGCGGGGGCTGCTGCCAGTGGAGTGTATATACACTCGCCCGCAATCCAGTACCTCTAGGCGGCACCCCGTGAGGCTGTCTGCAGACAAACAGAAAGATAAAACTGCCCCGCAGCTGCAGCAACAACAACAAGAGCAGCGACAGCACCCGCTGCAGCAGCAACAGCGGCAGCAACAGCAGCAGCAACAGAAGCAGCCACAGCAGCAGCACTATCGACTTCTAAAAGCCGGCACAGACTGCACTTATAAACAGCTGCGGCAGCAACCGCACGGACTGCAGCTCTGAAGCAGCAGCAGACCACAGCGCAGAGCTGGCGCTTAGTTCAGACAGCAGCAGCTGCTGCTGCTTAGACAGCTCCACCAGCGGCAGCAGCACCAGCACCAGCACCAGCAGCAGCCGCAGGGGCGAACATCGACAAAGGTTCTAAGGGACTCTGCATGGGCGTCTTTAGCGCGTAAACCCTAAACCCTCAGCTGTGTTTCCTAGGGCTTTGCCCCCGTTGACACGCAGAGAGAGGTTTTAGGGTTTAAGGTTTGTATGTGAAAGTTTAGGGTTTAGGGTTGGTTAGGAAAGAGGCATCACCTGAGTGTTTGATAGTGACGCAGACTGTCTCCTGTTCCTCGTCAGCTGACAGGGTAAGGGTACAGCCCTGCTCAGATCCCCCCAGGTCTGTCCTGGGGTCCAGCAGCAGCAGCAGTCTCCGGCAAGGGAGAAAGGAGACAGTTGTGATGTTCTCTTGGTGCGCTCCGAATGGATGCTTTGACTCCACGCAGTGTACAGACAGCCGGTGGCTGAAGGCGGTACGCAGCTGCTGCAGCACCAAGGGCCCCAGGTGCTCCACGAGGCCCCCGTGGGGCCCCTCCGAGATCAGCGCCCGAGCCAGCAGCTGCAGCAGCCGCAGCAGCTGCTGCAGGTTGCTGCACGGCAGCTGCTGCAGCAGCGGCGATATTGCGAAAGGGGCAGAGGGGGGCCCACCGAGGCCCCCCCGGGCATTCAGTAAGTCTCCCGTACCGCTGTGGGTAGGCATAGGCAGCAGTGTGGGGGCGCCCAGGCTGCTTGAGAGAAAGAAGGACATAAAGGAGGGGGGCTGCAGCTGAGGCAGGTGCGGTGCTGCTGCTGCTATCTTCTTGCTCTGCTGCCACACAGCAAAGCAACTCGATATCAAAGTGGCTGTACGGTGGGGGCCCCCCCCTGCAAAACAAGGGGGCCCCAGCTCGCTGTAGCTGAGTTGCAGCAGCTTCAGAAAAGAGGAGAGGCCCCCTAGCTCCTTCACGCCCCCTGCGGGACCCTCAAGGGGGCCCCCAAGGGGGCCCCCAGGGGCCCCCTCAAAGGCCTCCAGCATTCGGCGGAGAGCCTGACGCACCTATCGCAACAAAGGAACAGATGAGAACAGAAGCAACAGCAGCTCAGGCAGCAACAACCAGCAGCGGCTGCAGCAGCAGAAACAGCATATACTGCATTACCCTGAACACCCGCCTCTGTACCCGGCACTCGTAGCATCCCTAAACCCTACACCTGGGCCCTACACAACACACCCTAAACCCTCAACCCTAAACCCTAGGCCCTAAATTCCTCCCTGCAGCGCCCCACTAAACCATAGGCTGACCTGGAGACCAGCGACTGCTCCTTCAAGCCGCTCCAGCAGCGTCAGCAGAGCGCGGATAGGGGGGCCCCCTGCAGCAGCAGAGTACCCTTTATTGGCTTGGGGGGACTGCTCGCTGAGGCCCTCAATAAGGGCCTCCAACCCCTGTAGGGGGCCCCAGGGGGGCCCCGCCCTGCACAGCACAGTCTGGGGCAACCTAAACAGTCTGCGGACACCTGTGTCTTCGTCTTCTATCTCCAGTATCACTGTAGGATATCCCAGTCCGCTGCTGCTACTGCTGCTGCTGCTGCTGCTGCTGCTGCTGTGGGGGGTTATGTCCCCTGCTGCTAGGCGCAGCTCCTCTAAGCCGTCGATCTGCCAAATGAAGCCGCAGCGTCCGGCAAGCCCCTCCAGCAGCAGCACATCTCCTGTTGCTGAGGTTACGAGTCCCTCAACGATTGGAGTCGTCACCACGCCTTTGCTGCTGTTGTCGTTGCTGCTGCTGCTATTGCTGCTGTTGCCCTCAGCAGCAGAGTTGGATGCCAGAAACAGCAACTCCTGCACTGCATCACGAGCTGCAGAAGCATCAATGTTGTTGTTGCTGCTGCTGCTGCCGCCAGCACTTTGTTGCAGCAGCCATTGTGCCTCCCCAGTGTCGCTAGTTTCTTCTGTTGCTCCTGTGGCTGCCGCCGACTCTGTTGCAGTTGCAGTGGTGGGTGCTGTTGCTGCAGGGTCTGCTGCAGCTTCTGGAATGACAATAACCCCTTGTACGAGCGATGCTGCTGCGGGGTGTATGCGCACCAGGAGACCCAGCCGCAGCTCCTTCGGGGGTAACAGCTGCAGCTCGCCGGGACCGTCTAAGCCCTGCAGCTGACCCCGCCACTCTCTCCCGCCTGCAGCAGCAGCAGCAGCAGCAGGAACCCGTGATACGCCACCAGAGGGGTGCTGGACCGCTGCGGATAAAAGGTCGTCGTACCACTTTGTGCTCCGCAGCACGGCTGCAGCAACTTCATCAGACAAGCTGCTGCTGCTGCTGCTGCTGCTGTTGCTGCTGCTGCTGTTGTTGTTGAGAGTTTCATCTCGTTGGAACTCTGGGGCCACCTGTTCGCTGGCATGCTGCATCAGCGAATAAAGGGAGTCGCCTGCGAGCTCTTCTGTACTGGGAGAAACCTCCTCTACCCCTCCACTCGTGCTGCTGCTGTTGCTGGTGCTGCTGTCGTTATTGGTAGGGCTTCTGTTTGCGTTGTTGTTTTCGTTGCTGTTGTCTATGTTGCAGTTGGCCTCAGTTGTCTCGGTCCCCGGTGTGCCTTGCTGCATTTCTTCTTGCTGCAGTTGCTGCTGCTGCTGCTGCTGCTGCTCCTGCTGCTGTTGCGTTTCTTCTGGGATATCAGCCTCTTCTAAGAAGCGCATTTGCATGGCCTCGAGCTCAGCCATGCCGCTGGTGAGGAGCCACTCTGCTGCCGCTTGCAGGTCGTCTCCCTGCAGCCTCAAGGCTGAGACACACAGCCCCAGAGGAAACAACCCGCTGCCCATCATATCTCGCAGCGTCTCTGCTGCAGCACGCCGCTGCAACGCCTCCTCGCTGAGGGCCCCCAGGGACCCTTGACACGCACGGCCCACCACGGGCCCCACGGGGCCTCCGGCGGAGACAGCAGGAGACCGCCCGTCGCTTGGGGGTCGTGTCGGTGACTCGAATACATCCGCTTCAGCGGTAGCAGCTGCAGCAGCAACAACAGATGGCTCCCTGCTGCTGCTGGTAGTGGTGGCAGTGCTAGGCGCAGGCGGCAGTCGAGCCGGAAGCTGCAGCGAGGCTGGAGGCAGCCCCATATCCGCACATAGCTGCTGCAGGTCTGCACTGTCTAGAGAAGCAGCAAATGGGTACCGAAAGGGGGCCCCCCCAAAGTTGGCTCTGAGGCGCAGGGGGGCCCCCCCCATGGCAGACGCAGCCCACACAGCAGGGCGGAAGCAACCCCGCACGTCTTTGAAAGCGACGAAGGCCTGCCTGCTGCTGCTGCTACTTTTCGGGTTGCTGTTGCTGCTGTCCAGGTTGCTGCTGCAGCTGCTGCTGCTGCTGGTGACCCAGGGAGAAACACTCAGGAGGCAACCGTTCTTAGTGAAGCTGATGGAGCGTTGCCTAGCGTTCAGCAGCACTCCAACTGTGTCGCCGCTTCCGTATGCAGCAGCACAACCTGCAGCTGGCGCTGCAGCAGAGGCTCCATGCAGCAGCAACCCACTGCTGCAGTATAGATAGCCGCTGCTCATGCTGCTCCCGCCTGCCCGGAGGGCGCATCCGTCTACGTGCAGACCTACAGCTACCAAAGGGCAGCACTTGCTGCTGCTGCTGCTGCTACTGCTAGGTCGAATGTCAGCCTCATTGTTCTTGCTGCTGCAGATGCGGCAGACATCAGAAGCAGCAGTATGCTCCTGCTGCTGCGGCCTGCATGCTGAAGGGCAGCCCGCAGCAGCTGCGGTCTCTCTCTTTACTGAGTCGCCGCACAAAGGCCTACACCTCCTGCAGCGCTGCCTTTGCTGCTGCTGCTGCTCTGCCTCGCCGTCGATGTACACCTCAAAGTAGTACGCAGGCAGAGACGTAGGAATTGCCCGGTTGGCTTGGGCAATGTTCTGTAGCTGGCTGCACTGTGCTGCAGCTGCTTGTGTTCGCTTTGCTGCTGCCTCTGCCTCATCCTCTGCAGCAGCTGCTGCTTGTTTAGCAGCTGTTGCTTCTGCTGCTGCTGCACTTTCCAAAGTGGGTTTCATTGCTGCAGTATAGAAGAGAGTGTCCGATAGGCTCTGTCCCCCACTGGTGCAGCTGACGGGAGCTTCCGGGAGCAGCAACAGCCGGCCTTCTGTCTGCTGATGATGTTGCTGTTGCTGTTGCTGCTGCTGCTGTAGCTGATGCTGCTGCTGCTGCTGCTGCTGCTTGTCGCATACGGCGGCCTCTGCATCGTCAGGGGCGAAGGGGTTTGTTGATATCGGTTGGGTCTCTGCAGAACCTCCTTCCCCCTGCTGCTGCTGCTGCTGCTGCTGCTGCTGCTTCACCTTTTCTTGTGGCTGCAGCAGGACGGTCCAATCTTCGGGTGGGCAGGCAAACCCCAGGGCCGTGCGTCTTTCCCAGGCTGTGGGTAGCAGCAGCGGGAGGCCTGCAAAGGGGCAGTGCTGCAGCGTGTCTGCTGCAGTCGCTCGCAGCAGCAAGCGGTTCTCAATAGCTACGCAGCCATGCAGCCTGTCCCGCAGCAGCTGCCGCAGCCGCAGCGAGAGGCCCCTCAGCTCCTCCAGGCCTTCTAAGTAGGGGACAGATATGGGGCGGAGACAGACAACCAGCAATGACTGCAGCAACTGCTGCTGCAGCAGCAAAGAAGCAGCAACCTGCCGACTCTGCAGCAGCTCGCTCACTGCAGAGAGAGCCATTGTCCGCAGCTGCAGCAGCAGCAACGACGCCACGCGCCCAGCTGGCAGCCAAGCAACCCGATCGGCTGTTGTTTCATGCGCTGCAGTTGCTGCTGCAACAGCAGCTGCTGCTGCTTCTGCTGCTGTTCCTGCTCCTGGTTTTGCGCAGGGCTCAGGCGACTCCTCCAGCAATCCCTTTTCTGCTGCCAACGTCAGCCGCACGATTTCTTTTAGCAGCGCCTCTGTCTCTTTGCTCCGGCCTACAGCTGCTCTGCTGCCTTCTGCTGTAGTTGAAGCAGCAGCAGAAGCTGCTGCTGCTGCTGCAGACGAAGCGGCTGTCGGTGCAGGCGCGTTAGGATCCCTAACGCGCCTCTTCTGCTCGTTTTCGTCCTGCTGCTGCTGCTGCTGCTGCTGTTGCTGCTGTTGTTCTGCCCCTTTGAGCAACAAATCCGCAATGGCATGTCCGTCTGCTTCGCAAAGGTTTGCTGCTGTTGCTGCACTCACGCGGCTGAGCTGCATCACGGGTCTGTCTCCTTCGTGGACCTGCAGCAAGGCGAGGCCTTCGTACTTGGACAGCATCACGAGTCTGCTGCTCTGGCGCTGCAGCAGCTGCTGCAGCTGCTGCTGCTGCAACAAATCGCTGCTGTTGCTGCTGTCCGACTGTAAAGAACTGCCAACCCTTAAGAACTCGGGGGAACCCCCAAGCACAGCGAGGGCCCCCAGCGCCTCACAGACAGCCTGGCCCCATAGAGGGGCCCCGTCCTGGGCAGATCCTGCTGCTGCTACTGCTTCTCCCGCTGCTGCTGCAGCTGCTGCGGCCCTCCCTGCTGCGCTGCATGCATCCATCAACCATCCGCAAGGGTCCATATGGACGACGGAGCCGTGTGAGTGGTGTTGGTAGTGGTGGTGATGGTGGTGTCGATGATTATGTTGAGCTTGCTGCTGTTGCTGCTGCTGCTGCTGTTGCTTCTGCTGCGAGCAGTCGAGTGAACTGTGCTCGGTGTGCTCTATAATTTCCTCCAGAGCTGCTTGAGGGCCGTGCAACTGCTGCTGTTGCTGCTGCTCCAGCTCGCTGTGGTGCTGCTTCGGCTGATGTTGTTGCTGCAGTATCTTTGCTTGCTGCTGTACCTGGTGCGAACAGAGTGCCTGCGGGTGCGGCTGCAAGTGGTGATTTTGAGGTGGTTGTGGTTGCTGCTGTTGCAGCAGCTGCAGCTGCTGCAGGGCGTGATCTGCTGCACTCTGCAACAGCACCTGAGCACCCTCCTCAAGCAGTTTGCTGCTGTAGGCCATGGCCGCCCGAATCCGCTGGCGTATGGGGGGGCCCCACTGGCAGCAAAGCAGCAGCTGCCGCAGCAGTCCCCTCAACTCCAGAGACAGCGCCGCCTGCTGGCTAGCTGTGCACGTGTGCGAAAGTAGAGATGTGGGGATGCAAGTGCCACTGCTGCTGCTGCTGCTGCTGCCATGGCTGTGCAGCACGTCGCCGCGGTGAGCCAGCTGATGCAAGAGATGCTCCTCCCAGTGTCGAGACAGCTGAGAAAGACCTGATGAACACTCCCCCAAAGCAAACGCCATAGGTGACGCTAGAAACCGCAAGGACTTGCTGTTTCTGCTGCTGCTGTTGCTGCTGCTGGCTCGGGCTGCTGATGCGTCTGATGGTGCTGCTGCTACTTCTGCACTGAGCTGCTGTAGCGCTGCAGTGGCGATCGTTTCGGGTCTGCACACCGCCACGCCACAGCCAATTGCTGCAAGGAGGCTCTCTGCGAGCTGTGCGGCGATGCTGCTGCTGCTGCCGCTGCTGCCGCTGCTGCTGTCGCTCTCTCCGCTGCAGGCGAGAGGACACATCCCTCTCAAGGGGCCAGATAAGGCAGGGGCGCTGCTGTGACCAGCTGCTGCAGCTTCTGCTGCAGCACGGCCCACGTCTTCCGTGGTTGTCTCTGCCGCTGCTGCTGCTGCTGCGGAGGCTGCTGCTGATGCTGCCGCTGATGCTGCCGCTGATGCTACTGCAGCTGAAGAAGCCGACATGGGGCTGCAAGAGCCAGAAAAGGAAGTGAGAGAGGTGCCAGCGTGTTTGTGGTGCAGAAGCAGCAAGTACAGCTGCTGCTGCAGGTGGCGCTGCTGCAGCTGCTGCTGGTGCATGGCTTGTGTGGGCCTAAGAAAATATGAGCCACGGCGGTTAGCAACAGCAACAGCGTTGAGCAGCACGTCCCTGAGGGCCCCGGCGGGATACAGTGGGGCCCCCCCAAGGGCTCTAAAGGCCGGCAGCAGGAATTCTGCTGTTTGCTGTTGGCTGCTGAGGGGCAGCAGCAACTTCAGCAGCATGACAGCTTGCCGTTGCAGTCTGGGACTGCCGCCAGCGAGCAGCAAAGATACTGCAGCAGCAAGTGCTTCCGAAGACAGAACCGAATGGAGATAGAAAGCTGTGGGGCCCCAAGCGCAGGCATCCAGCCTTCTGCTGCTGCTACTGCTGCAGCAGAGAGAAGTGCAGAATTGATGCAGCTCCGCGAACCCCTTCAAGTCCGTCGCCCAGCTCTGGAGACTTGCAGAGGGAGACCAGTGGTCAGATGTTGCTGCAGAAAAGGCAGCAGGAGTAGCACCTGCAGCAGCTGCTGCGTCGGTTGCTTCTGCGGCAGTTGCTGCTGCTGCTGCTGCTGCGGCTGCTGCTGCTGATGCTGCTGATGCTGCTGCTGCTGCTGCTGATGCTGCTGCCAATCGATGCTGCTGCCGAAGGACGGCCGTGTCTGATGTGAACATCTTCGAGAGCAGCAGAACCAGCAGTGCAGCAAACAGATTGGCTGTTGACTCCCAAGAAAGGAAAAACGCCATTTCCTTAACTGCAGCAGGCTGCTGCTGCTGCTGCTGNGCTGCTGCTGCTGCTGCTGTTGTTGTTGTTCTTGTTGCTGCAGTTGCTGGTGAGGGACAAACCTCGCTGCTGCTGTTTGCAGAGCTGCAATCAGCAGCAAATCGGTACAGCACTGCACCGCGGCAATCCGAGGCTTCTGCCCTGCTGCTGCAGCCCGCAGGCAGATAATGAACAACAGCAACAACCTGTTGTAGGGAGGGGGATACAGAACCGGCTGCTGCTGCTGCTGCTGCTGCTGTTGCTGTTTCTGTTGCTGCTGCTGCTGCTGAAGTATGGGGAGAGCGCCGGCAAAGGCTGCATCAAGCAACCCAAATTGCTGCAGGGCCAGCCTCTCTCCTGCAGAGACCGGGACAAAGCCCAGCACAGAGAGGGCAGTGTTGCAGACCGTGGGGCATTGCTGCGGTAAGCACTGCTCAGTCGCATGCGCAGCAAAAGTAGCAGCAGCAGCGGCAGAAGCAGCAGCGGGAGCAGCTGCGTCCCGGGATGAACTTAGATCTCGTGGCATTGGCAGTTTCTGACGGCTGTACGAGGTCCAGCTGTCATCGTGTTGCTGCAGCAGCAGCCGCTGCTGCGGCTGCTGCTGCTGCTGCTGCTGCTGCGCGTTTGGGTCTGCCAACAGCACTGCCACAGCAACCGCTCTATAGTGAAACAGCTGCAGCTGTCTCTCCAGCTGCACCCCACAGCCCCTGACAGATGAAAAGAGGTCCATCTGCTGTCTCCGCTCTTCTGCTGCTGCTTCCTGGGGATCGCCTCCTCCCCTGGGGAATTCGTAAGGCCTGAAGAAAGGATAGTGTGGCAAGCACGGCGCATTGCTGCTGCTGCTGCTCCTCCATCCCCGCCACCGAAAGCACTGCGCGGGGTCCAGTTGCAGGCTGCTGTCTGCCTGCGGTCCCCAGTGAGGCAGCGGCACTCCTAAAGGCTGTTCACTGCCCATAGAGCGCAGCACTTGCAGCAGCAGACGCAGAGACAAGGGCCCCTGAAGGGACAGCAGCGCATGCTGCAGCAAATCTAAACCCTGCAGCATCCCCTCGGCCCGCAGACGGCGCTGCCGCAACACATCTCCCAGGCAGCTAAGGTCATCGAGGGGGCCGGAGGGAGAAGCAGCAGCTGCTGCGGCTTCATCTTCTGCTTCCTTTGCATCAGCTGCTGCGTTGCTAACTGCTTCAATAGCACCAGCAAACACGGAGGGCGCCGCATTGTCGCTGCTCTCCCCCCTTGCTGCTCCTGCTGCTGCTCCTGTCGCTTCAGAACCACCCGGCGTCTCTGAGGTTGCGTGAGAGGCTGTGAGGGACCGGTGGAAAGACAGTGCTGGAGCAGCAGCAGCAGCAGCAGCAGCTGTGCCAGAAGCAGCTGTAACCTCCTTCACCATGTCTTCTGCTGCTGCTGCTGCTGCTTTGCCTATGCACTGAACTAGTAGCAGCTGTTGCAGCGGGCCCCCAACGAGTAGCACGTCTTGGCCCTTGTCGGCAGACTCCATAGAAGCAGCAGAAGCACCAGCTGCAACGGCAGCAGCAGTTTCTGCGCCAGGAGAGTCAGCAACAGCTGTGGGCCCTGCCGCTGCTTCTGCTGCATTTGCTGCTGCAGTACATGCAGAGCGAACTGCGGCAGCAGCTGAAGCAGCAGCAGAAGCAGCTAGGGATGTCAATTGTTGCTGTTGATGTGCTTCCGGCTGTATCCCGGCGCTGCAGGCAACAGCAGCCGCAGCAGATGCTGCTGCTGATGCTTGCACAGCCCTCAGTGCAGCAGTTAGGCCCCGCGCTGCAGTTGGCGGCAGCGCAGGGGGAGCAGCGAAGAAGACAGCAGCAATTCCGTGGGAGATGCTTCTTGCTGCAGCTTCCTTCTCTTGCTGTTGCTGCTGCTGCTGCTGCTGCAGTCGCCTTGCTGCCCTGCATCTCTGCATGCGTTGCCAAGCAAGGATTGTCTTCTTACACTGCCGTAGCGGTCCGTCTGGCGTGGTAGTCGGCATAGCTGCTGCTGCTGCTGCTGCTTCTGCTGCTGCGTGTCTGCTGGCGGAGACGGGTTTCGGAGACCCCATGGGCACGAAGGTCCCCCCCCTGCCGTTTAAGGCAGTGAGAAAGGCCAAGACATTAGCGAGGGTTTGATGGCTGTACTCTTCTTCTGTCTCCTCTGTATCTGAATCATGCCCAGAAGCCGCCGCAGCAGCAGCCTCTGTTGCTGCTGCTGCTCTTGCTGCTGCTGCTGCTGGGGTTGTGGCAGCAGAGTGTGACGCGGAGACTGGAGTTAAAACGAAGGAATGCTGTCCGGCAGCAGCAGCAGCAGCAGCAGTAGGGAGGTGCTCTACCTCTGAGCCGTGCAGCAGCAGACTGTCGCTGCTGCAGTTGCTGCTGAGGTGTGTCAAGCTGCTGCTGAGATGGATAGGGATATCGCTTGCGCAGCTGCCTTTGCTGGCGCTGAAGAGAGCGTCGCGTTGCTTGCGTCTGGGGAGATGAAGGCCCCCGCGGGATGCATGTGCTGTTGCTGTTGCTGTTGCTGCTGCTGTCCGCAGCGGCTGCAGACCTGCTGCTACGAGGCTGTATGGCAACTCTCGCTCTTCTCTCTTTCGTTGTCTGCTGGAGTAAGGTTTAAGTCGCATCAGCAGGGCCGCCTTACTCAGCAGTACTGCTGCCCAAAAGGAATAGCAGGACAGGGTCTGTTGGTGCTGGAGTTGCTGCTGCAGCAGCTGCTGCATTTGGTGCCTCTGCTGCCCCGCAAACGTCGCAGCAACGGAACGATCTGCACTATCACCGCCAGCAGAGGCAGCAGCAGCAGCAAGGTCTCTCCTCTTGACCTCAGCGGCTAGCACCGCCCTCTGCCGCTCCCCCACAGCCCACTGTCTTAACGTGCGCCCCCCCGCCCAGACGAAAACCAAAGCAGCAAACTGCTGCTGATCAGCTAGCCACGAGGCCTGTGCCTTCACAATTGCATCCAACTTGCTTCTGTTGCTGCTGCTGCTGTGTACGGCTGCTGCTGCTGCTGCATCCACGAGTTCAGGCACTCGCTGCAACAGAGCCAAGAGCAGCGACAGCAGCAACTTGTGCATGTGCAGGTGGTGCAACAGGCAGCAGCAGTAGGCCCTGACAGCTAGCTGCAGACTGAGGCCGCCCACTGTTTCGCTGATGAGGGCCCCCCCCGCCATAGATCTGCCGCTCTTACCCAGGGCGAGAGGGGGACCCCTCCTGCTGAAGATTGCTGCTGCTGCCTCAAGCACAAGCGCCAGGGGCCTCCCTAAAGGGCTCCCTGTCCATAGGATGTAGCAGATACTTTCGGGGTGTCTCTGCAGGTGCTTCAGCTCCCCATGCCAAGGGGCCCCCAGTGCAAGCGCATGCTGGAGGCGGTCTGGAGTGCAGCAGCGTTCCCCTCCTCCACCAGCAGCAGCAGCGGCACTGACTGGAGGTGCTGCTGCTCCTGTTGCCTGTGCTGCTCCTGCTGCTCCTGCAGGACATATGGCATCTCTTGGCGGTGCTGCAGCAACAACAGGCTGCTGCTGCACCGAGCTGGCAGACGCTTCATTAGGGGGGCCCCAGGGGTTCCCCTGTGTCAGTGAGGGCCCCTTGGCTGTCTGTTCTTCATGCTCTTGCTGTCGTCTGCTGCTCCTTCCGGGATGGGCGAGACCAAAGGCTGCAGGAGCAGCAGACGGGCCCCGAGAGGAGTGGGCTGAACACCAGTCAGATGGGTGCTGCGTATCCTGCTGTTGGTGTTGGTGCTGCTGCTGCGGCTGCCCTAGCTGTTGCTTGTGCTGGTGGGTTCCTCTGTGGCGATTTGTCTCTTCGAGGCTTTCTGTGTCTGTGCTGAGGTGAGGAGCCCTCGTGCCTTTTTGCTGCTGTATATGTCTCCTTCTGTCTCCTTTCCAGGGCTGCAGCAGAGCGAGGGTCTCAGGTGTCTCCTTGCAGCGCGACAGCAGCCGGCGTACGCAGGGGCTTCGCTCTTTGCGGTAGCCGCCAGCAAAGAGCAGGGAGTTTAGGGCCCCCCCCAGCTGCTGCTCGTGAGGAGCAGCAGGAGAACCCCGCAGCAGCGCTGCTGTGGCTGCTGCAACAGCAGCACTGCAAGCCAACACAAACTCCACTAACAGATGCAGCCCTTCCCCCCGTTGCTGCTGCACAGGCGAAGATGAGCAAGAGGACCCCCCATCCGTATCCACTATGCTGCTGCTGCTGCTGCTGTTGTTGTTGTTGCTGCTGCTGTTGCTGTTGTTGCTGTTGTTGTTGTTGTTGCTGTTGTTGCTGCTGCCGTTGCTGTTGCTGCTGCTGTTGCAGTTGCTGCTGTTGCCTTCGTCAGCATGAGCCGTTGACCTGAGCTGGGCTACAGCATTTCTAAGTTGTGGGGTTTCGAATTCTTGTCTTTTGCTGCAGCTCTGTTGTTGTGCTGCAACAGCAACAGCTGCAGCTTCTTCCGCTGCTGCTGCTGCTGGTGGCAGTCCCCACTGCTGTCCAAGACAGTAGACTTTAAACCCCCACATAGAGCCCTTAGGCCTGCAGTTAGAGGAGAGAGACGGGGGAGCTTTCTCAGCTACACAAAAGAGCAGTGTGAGGGTGGGGGCCCCCAGAACCAAGGGCTGCTTCGGGAAGGGGGCCCCCGTCAGAGGTTGGGGGCCCCCCAAAGAACCCCCCGACTCCTCCGTGCTGCTGCCGCCGAAGGGCCCAGCAAGGAGAGATTCAGGGGGCACCTCCGATGGAGAGCAGGACCAGAGGCCCCGGTAAATCTGCATATCAGAAGCAAACGACAAAGCGACGAGAGGTAAGAGATAGAAACTCTAACGACTATATGCAGATGGCGGGGCTATGCATTCCACTGCCATACAGACAAGTGCAGCAGCGGCAGCAGCAGCGGCAGCAGCAGCCACACCAGCAGCACCAGCAACACCAGAAGACACAAAAACTACAGGGGGAGGATTCACGCTTGAAATTGCAGTAGAGATGCAAATACAGCTAGAGGAACACCCAATACACACGGACACTAACAAAACACAAGATACACGGAGACAGTTGGAGAAACACAGAAAGCGCAGGGACAGTAAAAGCAAAAGAAGAGACAGATACGTTAGAGAAAAGGAGGCCGTGAAAGACACAAAAGGGACGCAGAGACTCTAAACTATGCAGGGGAAACAAGGAAAGAGTAGCCGAAACAAAAGAGAGACAGAGACTGTTAGAGGAAAACACGAGACAAGGAGACAGTAAGAGACGAAAGGGACACAGAGAAAGTAAAAGAGACACACGAGAAACTGAGATGAGGAGACAGCAAAAAAAACGGAAGATACAGAGACTGCAGAGGGAAGGCAAGAGACAAGGGACAGCAAAAGAAATGAGAGGAGCCAGGAAAAAAAACAAGCAACAAGGAGACAGTATAAGGAACACAAGAGGAGACACAGAGACAGCCTCTGTGTGGCTATATGTCTCACCCAAAGAGCATCATAAGGGCCCTCTGTCTCCGACTTGGGGTCGAACAGCAGCAATATGTGAGAAGCAGCAGGTAAGCAGACGTGGTATGCATAAAAGAAGTGCTGCTGCTGTTGCTTCTGCTGCTGCTGCGAGAGCCGCACGCCTCTGCTGCTGGCCCAAGCTGCTGCTGCCTCCTCCGTCCACGCAGCGTGCTGCCGGGAGTAAGGGTGGGGTGTCTCTACAACCCGCAGAAGAGGGTGTAAAGGGGGATGAGGGACAAACCCTGCAGCAACATCAACACCAGCACCCGCAGCAGGAGCAACAGCAACAGAACTAGCAGGAGAAGTAGCAGCTTCAGCAACAGCAGCAACATTCACACCATCGACAGCAGGAGCAGCAGTAGCAACAGAATCATCCTCAGCAGCAGCAGCTAGCGCTGCAGCAACGAGGTATGGGGCACAGCCACGAGGCCCATACATTGTTTAACAACGGAGAGCTCACCTGGCGGACAGATCTGCTGCTCGTGCAAACCAAAGCGCTGCTGTTGTCGATGTTGTTGTTGCTGCTGCTGCTGCTGTTGCTGCTGCTGCTGCTGCGAGTGCTGCGGCAATTCATAGATTTGCTTGCTTCTGCTTCCAGAGCTGAGTGCCTCGACGAGCTGCTGCAGCACGGGGTGAGCGTACACCGCAGCATCAGCGGCCAGCAGCAACCCGTACAGCTCTGCTGCTGCATTCTGCTGCAGCCGCCCTAGCCAGGGGCATGCAGAGATAACGGCGAGACCATAGCAGAGCGGCACAGCAACACAGTCTAACAAGGTCCCCTCCAAGTTTGGCACCCCTCCGCAACACTTATGCTGCTGCTGCTGCTCCTGCTGCTCCTGCTGGTCCTGCTGCTGTGACGAGCGCACGCGCTCACCCACTTCCCTAATCGCCGCTAAGCAGGGCTTGATAGCAGCAGCAACAGCAGCAACAAACCGCTGAAGCTCCTGCACGGGTGAGGTGTATCTGCTGCTGCACAAGGCAACGGCAAACAATAGACGCAGAGCAATGCGCTGCAGCAGCATGCAAGCGCTTCTCCCTGTCCCCTCACTGACTGGGCGGATATCATGAGGGCCCCAAGGGACACATCCCGTAACAGCGGCTCTTGCTGCTGCTGCTGCTGCTGTATCTGTTGCTACTCCAGCAGCACCAAGGAGACGCCGCTGCCGCTTTCTTCGTCTTCCTGATGCTGATGAGGCAGCCCGACTGTCTGCCGATGTTTTGTTTGTCTCATCTGCGGAAACTGAAGCCCTCTCACCAGCGCCTGCAGCAGCAGCAGCAGCAGCAGAGGAAACAGGTAGAGGGACTTGTGCAGCATTGGCTGGCTGCTGCGTAGTTGAAAATGCTTCGCAGTCGTCACTTCTGCCCTCCTCGAAGTAGACGCGAGCTGCTGCCGTCCGTGCGGCTGCAGGTGATCCTGGCCCAACTGCAGCAGCTGCATCAGCAGCAAAAGCTGCTGCTGCAGCAGGAGTCACACAACACGCATCAGGCGCTGCAGTTGCTGTAGGCGGCACACCGCTATGCGTTTCTCTTTCGCTGCCCAGTGAGAAAACCCTGGGAGAGCCAGACGGGCTTGCAGTCTCCTCAGGTGTTGTTTTGCGGTTGGTGCTGCTGCCGTTGCTGCTGTTGTAGCCATCTGCAGGTCCTGCAGCTGACTCTTCCGGGCATGAGGCTCCATGGTCTTTGCCGCGGTCCGCAGCAGCACCAGCAGCAGTACTAGAAGTAGAAGAAGCAGCAGCTGCAGCAGCAGCAGAAACGGCTTTCTTTGCAATAGGGGACCTGAGACAGATGCGGCGCTGCAGCAAATGCTGCTGTGCAACATGCAACAGCAGCCGCAGAAGCGACCGCGAACACCTAAACCCTTCCGGCTGCTCTCTGCAGACTCCAGGCCCCTCCTGCTTTGTGTCATCCCCTGTCAGTCTGCTGCTGCCCTCACGAGGCGCAGCGCCAGGAGCAGCAGCAGCAACGTCGCTTTGTAGAGCCCTTCCTGCAGAAGAGGTCCCTGGTGGTGCTGCTGCTGCTGCAGGGCTTGTGGTGTTGTTTACAAGGATTTGTGGCTGCTGCCCGTCCCGCGGGCCTCCCGCCTCTTCTTGGGGAGGCCTGCTGGGCGTGGGGGCCTGGCTGCTGCGTTGCTGCTGCTGCTGCTGCTGCTGCCGTTGCTGCACTGTGTTGCTTGCTGTTGCTGTTTCAGCGAAAGAGTCCATTGAGCAGCTGTCACCCCCACGCTGTATCTGCCTGAAGGCCTCAGGAGATGCCCCCTTGTTTAGGGGCCCACCGAAGGGCAGGTCAAGGTCAGGCAGCTCCCCCACCCGCTGCAGAAGCTGCTGCAACAGCTCCTGGCTGCCCCCTTCAGCACGAAACACCTCTTCAAGGATCGCAGCGCGACGCCCTCTGCGAAGCGCTTCACTGCTGCTGCTGCTGCAACTGCTGTTGCTGCTGCTAGAGGCTCCTTGCAGGGATGATGGCGGAGGATGCAGCCCTGCCCTTGGGGCCTCCCAGAAGAAGCGTTTCTCTCTCTACAGCAACCGAAAGGAGCAGATAGAAAGTAAACGGGCGGGGTTATACGTAGGGCTCGTGCTTCAGGGTTTACAGCTTAGTGTGTAAGGTGTATAGATTAGGGTTTAGGGTTAAGTGTTCAGGGTTCAGGGCTAAGGGTCTGGGGTTTACGGGTTTAGGGTTTAGTGGCGTGTAGTGTTTAGGGAACTACATTCCAAAAACAGGCGTTTCACTGCTACGGCCGAAGGAGGTTTAGTTCAGGGTCTAGGGTTTATGCTATATGGTTTAGGGTCTGGGGCTTAGGGTTTGCTGCTTAGCGTGCTGCCCACCAGCCCCTGGCGAACTACCGCTGCAAATGCTTCTCTAAGAAGGCAGCATTTGAGGGCAATGGGACTCTCGAGGAGGACGGGGTCAGCAGCTACGGCGTCATCGCACATCCAGCACAGCTTCTTTGTTGTCCACTTCAAAGCACGCCTCTGCAGCTCCTTGCTGCTGCTGCTGGTGTCGATGCTGCTGCTGCTGCTGCTGTTGGTGTTCATGTGCTGTTGGGGATGCTCGTCGCCCTCGTGGCCACCTCCAGATGCAGACACAGCTTCTTCCGCTGCAGCAAGGGGAGGGGCAGCAGCAGCAGCAGCTACTGCTGCTGCTGCCTCGAAGTCCACGAGGTCGCCGAGGCCCAGTAGCAGGTTGTCTGTTTGCCTGTATATGTGGGTCCTTCTCTGTATATACCTTTCAACCCCCTTGGGTGTCAGCGCAGACTGCTGCGCTGCATATTTAGCAGCAAATGCAGCAAGGGGCCCCCCGTAGCAGCAGCAGCGGGATTTCCCCAAGGCCTCAAACAGATCCGCATCATAATCCGCATACTTCTGCAGTTCTGCAGAAGAATACAAGGACGAAGCTGACGCAGATGCAGCGAGCGACACGCCAGGGTTTTCTTGCGGGGCCCCCTGGGTGCCCCCTTCCAGGTCTTCAGGGGGGCCCCCTTCTGGGCCTCCCAAGCCGGCTGTCAACTCCGAAGGTGTTTGTGCATGGGATTCCAGGGTGCCTGCAGAAATCTGGCTGCTGTGAGTCTGCTGCAGCGTGGAGGCCCGACCAGAGGCCTCTGCAACGGAGTTCAGAGGCGATGATGTCGGTAGATTTTGTGTGTCGTTGGTTGTTGTATGGAGGCTGCGGTCGGGGTCCTGGGGGCCCCTCTCGATGTCTACGGGCCCCTGATCAGCGTCTGAGAAGGCCAAAGGGGCCCCCTGAGGGCGTCCTGCAGGGTCTTGAGAGTTTTGGTTCTCCTCATCTGCTTCATTTTGGGGGTCCATTCGTTGGAACCGCGGAGCTTCCATCTCCTGAACCCTAAACCCTAAACCCTAAACCCATCACCGCTGCACTCTTCGCTGTGTCTGTACAATTCAGGAAGCTTGGGGGGAAGGATATCCTGCCTAAGGCCTGGCTGCAAGCACGAGGTGTGTGTACACTAGGCGGCAGCAGGCATATGAAACGGCCTTTCTTACTGCGCCAAAGAAGAAAGGCAGCACCAAATGTTCGAAATCAAAAACTGCTTCTCTCAGGTTGGTTACTGCAAGGAGGCGGCAGTAGGTGACCCGGGCAACCTTCGCTGTCGTGGGTTGTGCGGGGTTGCTGCCGGTTTCTGCGTTATTTTGTGGTTTTTAAATGATTTTTTTAGTGTTGAAAAAGAATTGGTAGTCTGTATTTCGAGATTTCACCAGAGAAAAAGGAAGAAAGAGAGGCCAGGAGCAGCAACCAACGAGGGAATGAATGGTCCATCACCCCATCAGCATTCTCTCCTTCAGCTCTTTCCGCGCGCGTTTAGGGGCTGAAAACAACTATGTGAATTATTTATTTCATATGAAGCAACTTTTCATCATAAACATGCAGGGAAAAACCCAAAAGGGGCCCTCAGCCCCCCCTGTGAGCATCATCTCCACACTGCTGCAACTGCTGCTGCTCGCGTGGGACCGCTGGCAGGCAGGCGGGGCCCCCCAGCCTCTCTTTTCTCCGGGAACGCAAGAAGAAAAAAACGTAAATAGAGGGTTTGCTATTGAAATACATCGTCTGTTTCCTTTTCCTGAGAGATATGCTGCAGAAAAAAAAGCATATGAGCACAGATCGCCATGCGGAGCTGTGACGTGTCCGTACAAACAGGCACGATAAATCAAATACTAAAAGGAGAGTGTTTTTCTCTGTTTAAAGTTCAAAATCGTGTTAAACACATTTCATGTGGTCGCGAAAGGCAACTAAATGCTTATTCGTTGCCATACTGCGGTGAGGTAGAACGCACCGCTGGACGCCCGGTTTGTCTGTACAAGACAAGCAGAGGCTCTGCGGGCAATTCCAGTCTCCAACTGACACAAACGAAATTATCTCCGGCAAATTCACAAGTGGTTAGCTGCTCAAGCGCTCGCTCACCACTGCAAATACGCCGCAGGCGACCCGGCCTACAGCCAGAGTCAGCAGCTAGCTGTGGTTAACTCTGATTGGCCACACCGAAATGGTGGCCCTCTCCGGCTCTTCTTAGGCAGATAGCCGCAGCTAGCTGCAACTCTCCGGCGCTCGGCGACGGCTGTCGACGCTAGACGTGGCTCGTTGCCCCTAGACTCAGCTGTGGCTAAACGCGGCCGCAACTAGCCGCGTCTAGCCACAGCTGGCATAGCGAGCCGCGGCTACACTCCACACGTATGCACGAACGCATGTATGCGTGTGGCCGTGGGGAACTGTCTCTACCTGAGCTTTTACCTCCTCACAAGGAGGAGTTGGTGCATTTGCCTAGCGAGGGTTTGCTGCTTGTCTGTCTCTGCCTTGTTCCCCTGTTGCCCCCGTGTATCTCCTCTCCATGCTTGGCAGTTGTTCTGCTTTTGTCTTCTCCTTTAATACATCATCTTGCTGCGCTCAGCGAGCATTACGCTACAACAACGCTATACACAAAGCAACCAAGCCCTACATCCTAAACCCTATGTGTCTCCTCCGCCGTCCCGCCTCAAAGCTCCAAACAAAACCAAACCGTCTTTCAGGATAGTTGTGTACAGATATCCAGGGCAAAGCATTCAAATTACCTCACTTCAGACACTATCGAACGTCTGCTGCTTTTGCTGCAGCTGCTGCNCTGCTGCTTTTGCTGCAGCTGCTGCGACTTCTGCTGCTGCTTCTGCTGCGGCTGCTTCTGCTGCAGCTGGGCAAAAGAAGCCTTTGCTTTCTTTCGGTCCCTTGTGTGTGTGTGTGTGTGTGTGTTTGTGTGCGTTTGCCTGTGTGTGTAGCAGCACAATTAGCAGCAGCAGCAGCAAAAGCTGCAGCAAACCCTTTACACATCTCTGTTCGTGCTGCTGTATAGCCGGAATCTTCCTCTTGTCTGGTGGCAAGTTTGTACGGTGCGAGTGCATGCATTTGCTGTTGCTGGTGCTGCAGCAGGCGCTCCACGTGCTGATCACGCAGCTGCCGCAGGAGCGAGAACAGTACTTTATGTGGTTTTCTTGCGTTTTTCTCTGCCTGCTGATCCTCTTCTGTAGCAAAGGACAAGAATTTGTCCTATCCAGAAGTAGCTGAGAAGACAAACCATAGTGGCCATCGCCTTCACGGGCAGCGGCGTTGTGCTGCAGCGGCATGTTGCTGCTGTTAGTGCAGTGCCCCCCACAGCCCTGGCTATTATAAACACAAACACAAACCCCAACTCTGCTGCTCGAGTTAAACACGCAAAAGAAACACCAAACACACCACAAGGAACTGTAGAGACACCTGAATTTCCCACAGATGAACCCTCGTAGCCCTCCCCTTCCTCCTGGCAAACGCCATCAGCCTCCCGGCCCATTCCCACTGTCTCAGGGGCCCCTCCCTCAACCCTAGGGGCCCCTTTCTCTGGCTTGGGGGGCACTTTCCCTGCGCTGGGGGCGCCTTTACGATCCTCTGCGGGGCCCCCATTTGCCTCTGCAGTGACAGCTGCAAAGTGCCTCGCGAAGTAACGCAGGTGCAGCAGCGGGGTGCTGCACTCGCCTACTGTGAGGCCAGCAACAAGTTCAGCTCCCGCTAGTGAATTGCTGAGGCTGCAGGCGATAGCTGCAACAGCTCCGATATGATGCAGCGTTGTGGGGATGTCTTTTTCAGCTAACACGTACAGCAAGTCGTAGAGAAAGAAAGAAAAGGAATACAACAGCAACGCGCGCTGCAGCCCGCTCATCTCCGCACCGAAATACGGGGGAGAACCACAACCAGCTGCTGCATTAGCATCAGCAGGAGCTGCAGCAGCAGCAAGCGAGGAGGAGCCCCACAATACCCCTCCTATACCACCCTCTGTGTACAACACAGCGCAGCCCCAAAGCACGCACACGGAACTGTGCAGAATACACAAGAGGCGGTTCACCCCGTGGCGGGGCCAGAGGTGTTGCTGAAGCAACGGCAACCGCTGCTGCCAACCGGGATGCTGCAGACGCTGCAGCAGACGCTGCAGCAGCAAATGCATGCAGCAGAACGCAGCCATCAGCGGAAAGCACCACCAAGACAGAGACGGCAGACGAGGCAGATGCTGCTCTATGACGGAGGCGCCAGGAGGCGCAGAAAGGGGAGGGGCCCCCATTCTAATCAGCCCCCAAATGCAGCAGAAAAAGTACTAAAACAGAATGTAGTGTTTATTTCATTCGAAATAGCATCTGCTGTCAGCAAAGAGAAATATAACAGGCAGCAGCAGTTGAGGGGGGGGCCCGTCCTTTAGTGTGGACGGGCACCCCGGCGGGGCAGAGAGGGAAGAGAAGAACAAAGCGGCAAATAATAATTTAAAAAGGCAATAAAAGACAATGAAGAGGAAATCCAAAGACGCAGTTTATGCAGCAAACTTCAGATGAGACCAGCCAGCCACTGCTGGTGAGCCGGAGCAGCAGCTGCAGCAACCACAGCAGCTGCAGCAGCAGCACTAGAAAACGCCAGTTCAACTATTGACACTCGTATCAGTTCCTATACGATCTGTTCACTGCTGCTGCTGCTGCTGGCGGTGTTGTTGCAGCTGCTGCAACAGCAGCAGCAAAGCCCCACATAGGGGGCCCAGGGGGGCCCCTGGGTCTCTTTCCACTGGGCAGGGGGCCCCCCTGCCTTCTGCAAGAAACAATGGAAGGCTTCTACAAAGAACTATTTGCTTCATCGAAAACCATAAACCCTAATCCCTAGTCCCTAATCCCTGCTGCAAGAAGGCATTGAACTGCGGCTGGTCTCCCTCGCTGCTGCAGGGGCCTTCGGGGCCCTCTCCTTAGAGGCCCCTTCTGCAGGTGGAGATGCCCCCGAAGCCCTGGGGGACGCAAAGAGAGGGCAGCAGCAGCAACAGCAGCTGCTGTTACAGCAGCAACAGCAGCCGCAACAGGTGCAACAACGCATGCAACAGCGAAGTCTGTAGGCACAGCAAACGGTGCAAGGCCGGACAGCACCAACTGTTCAAGACCCAGACCCAGCTGCAGCATTCGCAGCAACAACAACCTGAAGGTGACAAAAGGGGACAGCGAAGATGGAGACAGGAGGCAGCGCGGCGCTGCTGGATGAGTCGTTGTTTGGGGGAGAGGCCCTTGAAGTAAGACCCAGCTGGAGAGCTGTTGCCGCTGCTGTTGCTGCTGCTGCTGCTACTGTTGCCGCTACTGCTGCTGCTGTTGGTTTTGCTGCTTCTGTTCGCTGGTGTTTGCCACAGCTGTGTGCGTTCGCCTATTGCTGCTCTTTCTGCTGCAGGGTTCGGGGGCCGGCAGCAACGCGCTGCTGATGATGCCGCGGAAACCCAAGGAGAAGAAGGCGAACGGGTCTAAGAAGCAGCAACAGCAGCAGCAACAGCTGCAGCAAAAGAAACCAAGCAGCAGTAGAAAAGAAAGAAAGTTGAAGCAACTGTTGGTGCGTCTGTGTTCCCCTGCAGCTGCTCAGCTTCAGTAATCAGGCAGTATGAATGCAACAGCTTACGCAGCAGCAGCAGTTGCTGCTGCCGGTTTTTCTGTTGCTTCTGCTGCTGTTTTTGCTGCTGCTATATTGCTGTTGCTGATGCCTCTGCTCAGCTATGTTTGTCCCAGTTCTGTTGATGTGCATGCTGCAGAAGAAGCACAGAGACAGGGACGTCAAGGCCGAGTTGTGCGAGGAGCTCCAGAAACGCCAGCTGACAGAACGTGGGCTAAACACTTTGCAATGCTGCAGTTGCAGCTGCTGCTGCAGCTGCTGCTGCAGCTGGCGCTGCTGCACATAGGCAGACGGTGCTACAACAGGTGTAGTATGTTCTCTCCATGTAACTGANGCTACTGCATGTTTGTTGTTTGTTGCTGCTGCAGTCATGAAGCAGGCACCCGACACCACAGGCGATGCAGAAGGCGGTGTTGCAACGCAGGATGCAGCAACAGCAGCAGCAGCAGGAGGCATTGACAGTGAAGAGGTCCAGCTAGCCAAAACGCAGCTAATGCTAGGAGGCGGGCTGCTGCTGTCAGGCGTGAAGGGACGGCGGCTGCAGAAGAAGGCACGCAAAGCTCTGCTGCTGCAGAAGGAGATGGAGCGAAGGCAGCAGCAGCTGCAGGAGCAACGTCAGCTCAAGATGCAGCAGAAAAAGCTTCAGAAGGAGAAGAAAACGGACAGCCTTGGGGGGGAGACAGTGCAGCAACAGCAGTCAGAGCATCAGCAGCAGCAACAAACAAAATCCGCTAGTCACGCGGCAACTAGCAAGGAGGAAGACCAACGTGCCAAGCAGCCCGTACAGCAGCAGCAGCAGCAGCAAGAGAAGCAGCAGCAGCAAAAACAATCGGAGCACAGCAACGGGCAGCAGCCAAGTCTTGGAGAGCAGCAGTCAGTGAACGATGAACTGAAGAGCCAGGCTAAGAGCGACACTGCTGCCATAGCAGGCAGCAAAAGCACCAGTAGCAGCAGTAGTTCATCTTCCACACCCACGACAAATGTTCCTGTTTGCGATGCATCCAATTCTGCAGCAGCAGAAGAAGCAGCAGGAGGCGCAGCAGCAGCAGCGGAAAAAGCAGCAGCGGGTGNTGCCTGCTGCTGAGGCAGAGGGGCGCGTGTTGTCGTTCTTGCTGCAGCAGCACCATCCCACCTCCAGAGACGCAGAAGACTGCAGCAACAGCAGTAGCAGCAGTGCGGATGAGGGGGCCCCAGAAAGCAAACCGATTCATTGCAAACGAAAGATTAAAAAACTCCAAGACCTCTCAGGCCGACGACATGCAGATATACTCTGCGTAGCAGGGGCCACCGGCTCTGGCAAAAGCACACAAGTAACCCTAGACCCGAGACCCTAAACCATAACAGGGACTCCGTCCTCAGAAGCCCGCTGGGGGCTCCTCTAAAAGAGCGGCCCCGTTGCGCCGTGCTGTTCGTTCAACCGTCGGGGGGGCCTCTCGCTTATTTGTTTACCCGTGTGTTTGTTTTTATTGTTTATTCACTTGTTGGGTGGTTTGGTTTGTTCTCTGCGCAGATCCCTCAGTTTGTCTTTGAGTCGGGCATCTGCTACCCAGCGATGCTCTTCCATAAGAAGTGCCAAGTAGCTCGTCAGCTGCTTCAGGAGAAGAGTTCTGATGGGCCCCACACGAGCGAATCCGCTGCAGCAGCAGCAGCAACAGGAACACCAGCAGGACCTGCTAGCGCTGCTGCGAAAGTGGGCTTTGTCTCCGCAGAAGCGACGAAGGAGGGGATTCTTGTGAGGAGACAGCTATGCATCTGCATCACGCAGCCACGCAGAGTTGCTGCTGTCTCTTTAGCCAAAAGAGTGGCAGAGGAGATGGGGTCTCCTGAACTCGTGGGATATCAGGTGGGTCCCTAAAGGTATACACGTTCTCTCTGTCTCTTATTATTATAATCTCTATTATTATTACATCTTGTTTAGGCTGTCTCTGCTGCTTTAGGTACTGGTGGCTTGCCTGCTTGTTCTGGGTGTGCACGTGCTACAATGCAGAGCCCAATGCATGTTTGATTAAATGAAACAGTAGTTCTTGTCTTCGGGTTTAGTCGTCAGGTTTTTAGGCTGCCCTTTTTTTTTCTATTATAGAAAAGAATTCCACATAATTAATTGA